TCAGTTGCACGTTAATAACTAGTTAACATTCAACACATGACAAAATCACAAATATGATCCAAATATTTTTTTAAATATAGTGTACTTTAATTTAAAATGTTGTTTGTGTAAACTGATATTATAATTAAAAATTCAGCGCATTTTATGCGAAGTATATAAACATGTTACGTGTATGTAACGATTAACGAAGTAGGTTTTATAATATATAGAAGCGCTATAATCGTTAAAGAACAAAATAAATATCATACAAAGTAATATTATTTTTCCTTACTTAAGTGACTTTTGCTAAACCAATATCACAGCGATTTTAATATATCTTAAACTCAGAATAACGCAATAAGGCAGTAACATAGTATTATATTATTAATATTGTATATTACATTATTATATTTTGCTTGTAGAATTTCAAATAGGATTTGTACCATTTTGTGTTGCTTACAAAGAACCCGTTTGTTAATTTAATTAATTCCTTATTGTACATAAATGTGAGCTAGACGTGGGTCTGTATAAATACAATACATTATTGGTAGACGATCTTTGATCTTCACAATTAGAATGTCACAAGGGTAATTAAAATAAAATATAGATTAACTTTAAATAATAATTATTTTTAAATTTAATTTGTTTGTAAAATGTTTGTTTTACATTTGTGATACTGGTTTAGATAATTTGGGTAATCTGTTTGTATATGTTATCAAAGTTAGGCAAGTTAATAATTTGTATTGTTTAATAAAACATGTATTTTTTCAACTGTATTTTTTAGTTTCAAATAAATCCAAAAATAGTTTACTTAAATTTATGATTTTGTTAATAAAACAACTAGTTGAAGTCATACGAGCACTTTATTTGCTCTAGTTGTTACTCACTTAATTTATTCGTTTTCTGTATGAAATCTTTATTGTGCGAAAAGGTAAATCAGCTATCAACTAAAGGTCTATTGTTGAAATTTGAACTCTTTGGCAACACCGGTAAGTGTAAACGCGGTATACATTTGTCTGTCGCCTAGTGCACCGACCGACTATATTATATTAGAACGACCTTGGTATAAGGACAATATAGCTAATGTCGCCCCATGTTTCCTGCGGTCATTAAGATTATTGGCCGTCGCGTCGGTTGCACTAGTAATTGTTACACACAAACTAACGTAAATTAAATCCAGACAAATCTCGAATCAAAAAAGTTTAAAGAACTCTTCAAGGTTGTCGTTCATGTGTTTATTTTACCGCACAGAAGTAAAAAAATGAAGTGACCCGACATCTCTTTTTTTTTTACTATCGTACTCTTCATATTTCATATCATAGGGTCTGTACTAGACGCTACAAGCAAGAAAATGTTATAGAACGTTGGGTCTCGCTCTGATCACCAATAACAAAATGCCATGAATCAAACATTACATAATATGATGTGGGACTTTGGAGAGACAGAGCTATAGTTATACAAATTTATAAGATTAAATATGTTAGTTCAAAGTCTAAATTAGCTGTGTATCTCTCGTATTTACCTTGACGCCAATATTTGGCTTTTATTTGATAAAAGTTCTATAAGTAAAAGTTATATAATCTTTTTATATATTAAAACAAAGATTAATAATATGTTGGACAATTGCTGGCGCAAAATAGAAAAAAGTAATCTCTTAATATAGTTATAGTATTTATATTTTTCTTACAACAAATATACTATAAAGGCTATACCTTTAGAAGCCCGTCGAAAGCTTTTTCCATAATATATTTTTCATAATCCAGCGGTTTCTTACACTAACCCTAACATATTAACCTTTCTTCCTGGCCATCTATTAAATCTGTACAACACAATAATGTGTAATAAACCTATTTGGGTGGTTGTAAAATGTCAACATTTTACCCGTTATAAAAAAGCCAGTATGTCCTTTCCTCCCACACATCCCAGACCCCCAACGTCACACACCTTATAGTTTGATTTTCGGGTTATAAATAAAAAATTGTTACACGTATATATATTTTTGCATTATTCTAGTTTTATATAGCGTGAATGAAAACAATAATTAACATTATTTCTTTGTTGTTTTATGTTAATTCATTTGATAAATTTGGTTTTATGAAATGTTAGATTGAACGTCAATGACTTCATTGAGTTCATATGTTATATATTCATTTAAGTATAGAGTATTTGTATAATGTATAAATATATTTATACAATGTAATAATTAATGCAAAACAATCAGATAACAGAAAAAATTGTGTGAGAAAAAGGCAAGATGGTTTATTTTAATAATTGTATTTTTAAATATAATAAAACCATTATGTAAATGGTTTTTATTTATCATATTTTAAGCTTTCAGTGACCATCAAACTACATTTTAATGGATTATTTACCTAACTTTAAACCTCTAATGATATGTATCTTTATGTCTGTATTTACTTGCATTTGCTTTTATACAAAAGTGGTTTAATAAATGTAGTTCTATTATAATATAGCTAAAGAAACTTTTTTATTTACCGACATGACGTTAGACGTCATTAAACTTTTGTTTAATTAACAAACCCTCATTTTATATTGAAGATAGGTGTTTCCTTATATGCGTATTTGGTATGTTATAGCCTATAGCTTCACAGTTTGGTTAGTAACAAAAATGTGTTGATAAAGAATTTATAAAACCGCTGCAAAATACTTTTAACAGAGTATGATCATTAATTACTTAAGTCTCTTTATAGCATAAAATCACAATTACACGCATTTTACATTATTGCAATAATGTGTTATTTTTGTTATAAAATTAAAAATTGCATAAAGTATGTGTACAATTATTTGACTTGATTACATTTTTATGTAGGTTAGGTCTATTGGCGTAAAGCGTGTAAGAACAATATTATCTTTATAATTTCGTTGGGGTAACAATTATATTGAATTTTTACTGGCCGATCCAACGTGTGTGTGTGTGAATGGTATTTTTTGATTCTTAATATTTAAATGAATCGATGATCATTTGCTATGCGCTTTATAATATGAATTAGATTATAATGCTTCTAAGCAGGTGTAATCAGAAAGCACAGGTGATATTGCTAAGCTACGTCGGTTGGTTGACCAGCAGTTTTGTAAAGTTTTAACCGATTCGTTGAGGTTAGTGTGACTGATGTCTCCTTCAGTGTTGTGCACAGTGGATAATACCAACCGTTGGGATTATTTTCAGGATGTACTGCGTAAAACCTCCGTTTCGGCGAGTGCAAGCCGTATTTCTATTAAATAAACAGAATAAAAAAAAATTGTTTTAAAGATACAGCCGGTGGAACTAATTTCCGACTAATCGGCCAAATATATTTTACGTGTAAACGCTCTTCTACTTTTTCGCCGAAATGTACACGCAGTGTGTTAATAGCATAATATTATGTTTGTCAATAAATGAAAAAAATAATAGTAACGGAAGTTACTTGAATACAAAAAAAATGGAATAAGCTACAGGCTTTGTGATGTCTAGTCTGACAATATCGCCAATAGAGTGAACTCGATAGGTACAATAATATAGGATATACCGCTGAGTTAGCTTAATTTTGTTTATAATTGCATTATATTACTAATAAAATATATAGTATAAGACCATTACTAGACTCGTTGATAGTACAGTTAACACCATAGTTTACGTTAGGTATTATTAAACCATTGGAATTACAAAATACTATTGATGGAATCGGTAACATTAAATATTAAACAAAAAAACTTGTTATACTACTAACGTTTTTCTAGCTACAGCGCGAAGCTGAAAACATGATATAAGTAGTAAAAGCGTCTTCATAAAGTCTGACGGCTGATTGTAAAGATAATATGGGATAGAACAAATGTAAATTATTTTTTTTTTTAAACAAGCAATGAGTTGACATTTAGTTTCCTTTGTAAAAAAATGTTGTTTTATTTTAAATAAAAATTTAATTTTCATTTTTTCCATTCGCTTATAATTTATTCCACCTGATATCGTATAGCAAACGTTGTACAATTTTAGTTATATTTTAGTTTTATAATTTCAAAAACTGTAGATGATTAGCAATTTTCATATTACAATGACCCGACTCTGATTATCATAATAATATATGAATTGAGAATAACGTAGCTAAATGTCAAGTAAACTTCAAAATACAATTGGTTCGCATGTCGTCAAAATGCTTTTATTATATTGTTCTTCTTATTTTTGCCTGACGTAATACATTATACATGTTTAGGTCACCGTAATCGATCGTTTTTTTATTTTTTTAATAGGTTCTTTGCTGCCATAACATACTAAATCGGCAGTATACTACCATTTTTTTTTTATGTTAAACGTTATACATCTTTAAACGACTTTTACTGTTATGAAATCGTTATTTAATGTATTCAAAAACATTATCAAACTTAATTTAAAATTGGCCGAAGGATTTAATGTTGTAAGTTTGTTACTGCCGAATAACTTTTGGCGAACAATTTTGCGTTTATTTTTCTAAAAAAGGATTAAATTAAGTAGCCTTAATGATTAAGGCTTTTTACTAAAACAATTATATTACCTATTGCATACGGATAAATATTATTTTACTTTGGCAAGTGAAACGTATAAGATATTATATTATAATTTGCGAAAAAGTTTTAATTGATCGAAGGGTTGTATGCGAAAACATAAGAATTAGCACATAAATAGTGGAGATGTGTCAAATTAATCATAACGCGGTATCGTGTGTCAGTAGTTTTTTTTTTTTTTTAATAGGTACAATATTACGATTTATGATTTTTTCTTAAGTCGTTTTAACACTAAAAGTTTACCGAAAATCAATGTATAGTGATTTATAAACGGCTATTTTTCTCTAAATGTTGAGTTTTCTAATAAAATGTTTAGTATGTTGTTTAGTGATTTGATGATTAGTTAACTCCCATTTATGATTTTCCAAAAAGTCCCGCTTGTTAATTATTGTTACCTCGTCTTTCATAATTATTTTCTATCTCGCCTACACTAATATATATTTAATACTGTTATTTCTTTGCTAACATCAGCTGTTTGTTCGCAGGTTTAACGGAAACACATGAAAGAGAGAAAAAATTAATCTGCTGTAGTAATAAGACCAAACGTAAGTAATCGTCAAAATTATAAAATATATAGTTCATAATGTAGATTTAAATTTCAAAGTTGTAATTCTAGTGCGATATAAATCTTATATGATCAATTATTATATTATGAAAAACGCCGCGCGCGGCACACAAACATATTAAGTTTTTTTTTTTTTTAATTTACCGGTTATACTTGCGCTTATTTTTTTTTTAAACTGTGCCTAGTTAATGGGTTTCCACGTGTAACCGTATAAAGTTTATAAAGACTTTTTAAATTATATTTTTTACCGGGACTTACATAGGGTATAAAAGCGACAATGACAATTTTATAGATTTATATATCCAGACATTTTTAATCGCGACAAAGAGGATTAAAAACACTACATAAAATACATAGTCGTATGCGTTATTATTTTTTTTTTTTAATCTCTACCATGCCTTAGATGTCATAAATCCCGTACGCAATTCGGAGAGCCTATAATAACAGTAACGGGTTTACCGCCGTTCGGGGACCATTTTACGTGCTATACACACGCCCCTTAAAAAATAATCGAGGAGGGTTAAATCATAACGTAAAATAACATGAAAAAAGCTAGAAAAATACGACTTTCTATATAGTGCTTACATGAAAATCGCGTTTCTCGTTAACTTATGTGGTTCATATATAGATAATATATTGTTCGTGTACTACTAGGCTGGACCATATTTCAATTTTTTCAACGTCAATACGAAAACTTGATTTTTTGATGTTCTAAAAGTTTGTGAGTTATGCTCCTTAAAATGTTGTCGGTCTTGGGAAAGATAAACATTCGCCTTTAACCGTAATTCCAAACAGTAAATAAATATACGTTTGCTGAACGTTATTCAATACATTTTTATGATTAAAAAAAATGTACATTATCGATGACAACAACAATATAGTAACGTTTTGTGCGGTGGCCCATGCTCCTTTCGCAAAATGAAATTGGTTCCTTAAACTCGAATACTTTAGATACAGCCGTAGAACAGACAAGAACTATTTGAGTTATTATAATCTCGTTAATATTTAGTAGTACTTTATTTTTATTTATTTTAAATATTTTTTTATCTCGAAGGCACCGTATAACATAGATGAGTAACATAATAGTGTACGCATGACTTGCAAAGTACATGTGACTTTTTGGCATCATTCGTGTCTCCATGTAATATTATTACAGAGATTAAATCTGCGATTCGGCGAAATGTCACACTTAATGTCTTTTGTAGTGGTTGTAACTTATTTTCCATGAAGAGTGAAGATGCATGCTTAAATGATTACCATTTAAAATCGATATTTTGCTTTCTTAAAGAGGACAATTTTACCTAGAAATACCTTTATTTCGTATTCCGTGATGGGAGTATGGCCCATATATTGTATTCTTATCGAAAAAAAAACAACTTGGCATTCTGAGTATGAGGGTGTGTTTTCGTTTGTGCAATACTTATGTCTGTCGATAACGCCTATGCGGATTTGAACATTTCCCTAAAATGTTACCAGTATGTTTGTTTAGTTGTCTAGATGAACTGATTAAATTTTGTTGGCAACCGGGTAATTGAGTGATTATTTTTCTAGTGATCCATCTGCTGTTATCAGTCGAACTACCTAAATGTTGGACCATTTAGACCCCAATAAGAGAATTTCAAAACAATTGTTGTCACAAAAAGGTATTCGCGAGGGTTACATTCATATCCTTTAGTTTAGAGGAATAAGTGCCAATAATTTGGCAGCAGGTTTTTTTATTTTAATAATTTAATCTAAAAAGTTAAATTTTTTTTTTAAATAACTAGAGCTTTTTGATTAGGGCTAATAATTTTGGTAACTTGGTATTTTTTTTGTAACTTTTTTACTAGTTTTGTTCAACTTGCTTAATTTAATGATAATATATAGGTATAATATTCCGCGACGTTTATTGAAAAAGTGATATTGGTCTTTGTCGTAGGAACATTTTTTTTTCTCCATAAAAATGTATTTAATGTTAACCATTTGTTTGAATTATTAAATTAAAAACTCATACTTATAAATGTTGAAAAATTCATTAAAGTACAAGTGAACGCATGAATTGTACGTTAATATAACATAATGCGTCCGGAGACGATTAGGCTATACTTTTGAAAACATAATATGATGTGTGATGATACAATATATATATATATCCTTATTTCTGAATTTGATTGCGGTATACTTACTACGGAAATCCTACGGAAATAGGATCACCAATTCAATGTTTGGGTAAAGCTTATGCTTATCTGTAAAATGTAATATTCAAATCTATAATGTTATATGAAGCGCGTTTTTTTATAACAACATTATAGAATGATATTATAGTTCCACAGTAGCATTCTAACGAAATTACTTTATTTTATATATGGCATGTGCTTTTTCATGTATCATCAATGAATAGCATACTATATTCTCGGGGGGACGTTGCGTTGGCCGGGAAAAGCGTTTACGACCGTCGATTATACTACTCAATTCAAGTGCGATCATCGTTTTGTGTCATCATGTGCACCGCCTTCCTCTGATTTAGAACCGGCACCGGACGCCCAATATTGTTAAACGAAACCAGAGCAGTTTTGATTTCCTACTACCTTTTTTGGTTTTAAATCCTAAATGGTTTTCCGTGTTAACACATATCCTGCGCGTGTTTGTTTGATTTATTATATTTATTATTTAAACGTACACCTGTGTATACCATCATAATACTATCTGGCTAAAGCGTTCAGACCCGTTTATTGTCGGTAGGTAATAATTTACAGTATCTATTGTTTTTTTTTTTCAAATACATTTTCCAGATTTTTTAATTGTTTAATAAATAATTTTCTAACGACTTCGCAAGTATAATATATTGAATCCCTCCCTCCCTTGTACATGATGCTCTTCGTACCTACTGAACCGAAATAATAAAAGCGTATTCTGTACCTTTATTGCAAATTAAACCTATATATTATTAAACTTTATCTTACTCAAATTTCCACTATTTTTATCTTAAATAACGTTTCTGATAATGTAAGCAATGGAGAGAGGTGACAAATGTGTAAAAATATTGCAAATAAAACGTAACATTTATCTAGTCAATCTGTATTTCAAGATTAAATAATAAATGTGGTTTTACTTTTAATTATAATTTTATATTAAAATTATTTTTCTATATTATTAACTGTCATTTTACAGTTAATGACGAAAAATCATCAGCATCATCTGTTGTAAGTATACAAATATTTCACAATAAATAATACTGTATCTATTTCGTTAAGTAATGTATCGTAACTCACATTATTACGAACATTTTGATCAATTTGTTTAACAAATTATAAATAACTACCCTCGGGCGCGGTATTAAATAATACATCAGCAAAAAACTTTTTAACATTATGAAAACAAAATAATTATAATTATGATAAATACATACTGCAAATTACATATTTTCATAACGACATAATGATCAAGTATGTTATTTAATTATTTAAAAAAAATATATATATATATATATATCAATTAGGTAAATTATTTATTCAGTTTCACCAGGCATTACTGTTAATCCTGAACACATTTGTTAATCTACAATAGGGCTGAGACGATTAAGCGCTTAACAGTGTTCGTCGAAACTGGGTGATTTAAATACAATATAAACCGTTTTTATCCCCATGTTTGTAATCTATGTTTAAATCGGATAAAATGTTCTTATTGTACAAATCAGTACACATGTATATCCCAACTCACTGTTTACCACCTATATGTGAACTTTTTAAAATATTCCCAAAAAAACTGTATCACTCTAAAAGTATTTTGTATTTCTAAGACATGGTAGTATAATATATTTATTAAACAAACAGTAAAAATCATATTTTTTAATTGTTATTTACTTTTTTACTTGTGAAAGTTTATAAACACTTGTGCGGTATGTAAGAAAACTGATTAACATATAAATTAAAAATTTTACTTATGTATGAGTTTTTAATAATTTCGTAAATAGGTTTAATTTAATATGAATTATGTATTTTATATTCTTATTTACAAGAAAGTGAGCAAATTACGGTACGCTCTATCTTTCCGTGCTTCTTTAATTTCAATGCATACATCTTTTATTTTAAGCATCATCTTATTATCCTAAAAGTATTAGTAATACGTTACTGATTTCTACTATGCTGCTAAAAGTATAACCTAATTAATATTTATATTATACTTATAATGCTACTTGAGATCCATCCTTTACATTTTACCATATTATTATTTAATATAAAATGTTCGTTAATTCATCTTTAATGCCACTCAACAAATGATGTGTTTACGTTATTATTCGTAATTGCCTTCATAAAAAGAATACTTTTCGAAATAGGGTGTATCATATTAAACATTTCATTAGTAGTTGATTTTATTACCAATTATAAGAAGTGTCCATTTTATTATTTTAATAATCTTATGTTCCTTAATAAAATTAATTTTACATTAACACATATTTGGTTGAATATTGTCGATAGGTATCGCTTTAGCAGATTAACACGAAATATGATTACTTATACCTGTTTTAACAACGTTCACGAAATGATGTGAATGATTCACCACTTGTCGAATAATTGACCTATTCACTAACCTAACATATCCTACTCGGCCGTGTCATAGAACTGGTATGGTACCCTAGTCTCGGCAACAGAAGGTAATGATTCATATTCGATGGCCTCCAATTACTTCCGGTTATCCGTTTCAGAAATAAAAACAAATTTTTATGTTTTTTCACGTCGGGTTACAAATTAATTTTTAAATAATTATGTTATTAACTATAATAGAAATAATGTTTCGTTTAATTTTAACCAACTTCAGCGTGATTGTCAAAACACTTGACACCTAACACGGAGTTTACAGCTATCATAATAGTATGCATTTATGATATTATTATGTGTGTGAGTATTATTCGTTTCACTTGCTATCTTTTACATATTCACAGTGCTGTCATTTCGCTTAGAATTTAAGAATCAGTTAGGATGCACAAGTATAGTTGTTTGC